AATTTGAGTTGTTGATAGGAAAATGGATGCACCTTGAGTCCATAGTGTTAAGTGAAAGAAATCAGACATAGAAGGTTAAATATTGCATGGTTTCTCTTACAGAAGCCACCTAAAATACAAAGATTTTGGGGAGCAAAGTGAAAGAAAGATGATATGAAACCGGGAGCCAGACTTCATGGAGACGGGAAAGGGGCCTAGGGACTGGGGAGATAGGAGGGAGGGAAGGGAAAGAAGAACTAAGAAGAAACAAGATGCGATGTGTATATGCAGCGATAGCCATGACGAACATATTCATAATGTGTCACAAACGTATTAATAAACATTTTAAAAGCGGAGCTGTCCATTGACTTACTAATCCAGGCAGTAGAGCTTGTGTGATTATTCCGGATCCACTGCTGCTGTGACGGAAACTTCAAGGACTTCGCTCCTGTTCCCAACCTTCGTAGGAGACACAACACATTGAAAGGACTGATGAGCAGTGTACCAGAGGTCCTGGCTCTCCCACCTGTGCAGGTGTGAGCTGGAGTCCAGAGTCAAGGCCCTTGCTGCATTTTTCCACACTCGGGTTCTGTTCGCCACTGCACGCTATTTGGGACCTGGATCAAGTAGTATCCCCCGCTCCAAAACTGAGTAAAGTACTGGAGTTCCAACTGCTTATTTTTTATTGATGATTCAGGATCTTGTAATGACTCAACGTCATCAACACCATAAATTATTATTTTACATTATTATAACTAATGGAGGTGGCATGAAGTTAGAACCCAAAACATGCATTGGCAGGCGTGAGTATACTCTGGGAACATTTTTATGGCCACTGTGTTAGTTTCTGTGTGTGTGTGTGTGTGTGTGTGTGTGTGTGTGTGTGTGTTAGCTTCTTATTGCTGTTATAACAAATCACCATAAATTTGGCCTTAACACAAATTTACCATCTTCTAATGGGTCTTTCTGGGATAAAATGAAGGAGTTAGGAGGGCTCCCCTTAATCGATGGCTAGCAGGAGATTTTGAAAATGCTTTCTACATAAGAACTTTCTTGAGATTTATTTTTTCTATAAAATAGAGACTTGTTTTAGGTTTTTACTTTCTCTGCTGTACCCCTGTAATACAATTCCAAATACAGGCTTAGCAAAACTTTTTATCTTTGGAAGGCTGGAAGATGCAGCAAAATAGAGATTTCTTCCTTCCTCCTCCTCCTCCTCTTATCACATTCCCTTCTCTAGCTCATCTCCACTGCCCTCCCCCCTTACAGGTTTGTTACTGAATGCCAGCCATGCACCGGGCAGGCCCGCATTAGGCTTGTGGGGATCCTCAGGTGAAGAAGATGTAATTCCTCCTTAAAGAGCTCACAGTTTATTGAAGTCTCTAGATAGAGAAATAATGGATTATTAAGTACAGAGAGACAGAGACTGTCAGAGGCATCCACAGAGCGTAAGTTAGAAGAGAGAGTCATGCCTAATCGCTCAACCTGCCAGGGCAGCCTGCTAGGAGGAGGTAAGGTCTTATTTACGTCTTGAAGGGCATAGAAGTCATTCAGGCAGGTAGGGGTGTTGGTGGTGGTGGTGGTGGGTAAGGACCCGAGGGGCATGTGAATAAGGCATCTGCAGGGAAGGACAGTTTTTGTTTTTGCAT